ATTATGTGTCTTGCTGTGTTTTTCCTTTCGTCGTGGAAGTTTGGTGTTCTTCTTGCTTCTTGTATATCAATTTTCAGCTCCTTCTTCGCATTTGGGAAGTTCTCTTCAATTATCTCCTGGAATATTTTCTCTGTTCCTACATCTCTCTCCTCTCCTTCTGGAATTCCTATAACTCTTATATTTCCTTTCCTCATGGAGTCAGATAGTTCTCGAAGTCTTTCTTCATTCTTTTTCCTTCGTACTTCTCTTTCCTTTTCTGTTTTGGTTCTTTTTATTTCTGTGTCTTCAAGAGAACTTATTCGTTCTTCCATTTCATCTATTCTGCTTTCCTTGCTTTTCCCGGAGTTCTTTAGTTCCTCCATTAATTCTTTGATCTCCTGCATTTCTTTTACTTCCCTCTTTAGGGACTCAATTTCATTCTTCTGACCATTGTTTTCCCTCTTTAGGGACTCAATTTCCTTCTTCTGATCTATCACTTTTTTAATCATGGCAATTTTAAATTCTCTTTCTGGAAGGCTCAGAAGTTCTTCCAAGTTGCTGTCGTTGCAATCTGGGGAGTGGTTTTCTTTTTGTGGTATGCTTCTTTCCTGAGGAGTTGTTAGGTTGCGTGTGGTTCTTCTACTCCCTACTGTCTGTTTTCTAATTTGTCGTATGCGTTGGGACACTGTGATGCTCGGACTGACTGGCATCTTGGGTGAACTTCTCCGCTCCCCTCTGGCTCTTCCAGGAGCCATCTCTGCCTTCTGGGGGAGCTTTCTGCTGGTTTTAGGCAGTTTTTACTGAAGAAATGTCCCTGTTCTCAAATGGCGAAGCGGGATGCAGTCCCTGTGCCTCCGGTTTCAGGCACACTCTTCTGCGCACCCGGTCTGCCCCGGACGTGGGTGCCTGCTCCCTTTGTGGGCTCAGACTGCTGGTCGTAAGGGGCCTGGCGTGGAATAACTTCCTGGCTGGCCACTGCAGAAGCCTTCTGCCCTTTTCAAGCAGTCTTAAGAAATTTCCTGTTCTATGGGGTGTTTGTGACTTTTTTTTTCCTGGTCACTAGGTGGCGCCAGAGATCTCTCCTATTGTCCTTGGGGGGCTGTTTTTCGTCCCCCCCACCCCGTGGGACAGGGAACAGAGCGGGAATGGTAGGGTACACCTCAACAGCTTTGGGGTGCTGTGTCTGCCTTGTGCCCCACCGTCGTGGAGAACCCACGCCCCGAATTTTCGTGCCCCGGGTCTCAGTTCAAAGCCCTCAGTTCCAGGACGTGGGCTGTAGCCCAGTTCAGTGGCGCGGGAATGGCGCCTTTTGCACTGCTCCCGTGCCCGGGTGCCTGGTTCCTGCTCACTCAGGGAGGGACCTTCACCTCAGTGAGGACCTCCGCGCGTCTCCCCGCAAGCCTAGGTCGTCTCCCCACAAGCCTAGGTCGCAGGCGCGGGTACCTGGGCAGCCGCGATTCCGGTCTGCACTTGCTTTTCAAGCTCGCGGAGCGCGCCCCTTTCCGCGCAAGCTTACCGGCAGCCCGGGCTGTGTGCGCGTCTCCCGGGGTCTTTGTTCTTCTCTAATGGCGCCCGGAGCCGTTCGCTCACCGCCGAGGCGGATCCTGCAGGGTTCGCCTCAGCTCCCGTTCACGGGGTGTGGTGGCTGCAATAGTTCCTTTCCACGCACAGTCCCGCTTGCTGCGTCGTTTGTTCTTGTTGGTTGTTTTGGTTTGTTGTTTCCTCCTCTCTGCCGGTCGGAGTGCCGCCTCTGTGGGCGGGGGAGGGGAGCAGGGTTCTGCGCTTCCCTCCCTTCTAGTCCTCTTTTATGGCCACTTTCTTCTTCGGGTAGTTTGCTGGAGTCACCCGTTTATCTTCCGTGTCCCAGTTCTCACTGGGACCTGCCGCTTTTCCTCCCTATTAACTTTTTTTAATGGGAGATCTTACTCGCAGCGTCTCCTCGCCGCCATGTTGCTCCGCCCCCTGGAAAATAAATAAATTTAAAAAGAAAAAGAAAAAAAAATTACAAAGTATTCTTTGACATCCCTCAGTTCCATTTCTCTTTGCCATCCTTAGAGGAAACCACTATTACCTTTGCTTTCATACTTTTATATTCATGTATACATAGCAATGAATAGTATTATAGGGTTTTAGAAACAATACCTAAGTTGCATCAGACTCTAACAGTATTTTGCAATGTGGCATTTTTCCCTTTGACCTAATGCTCTAAAATTCTATCCCTGTTGCTAAATATAGATTTAACTCTTTTATTAAAAGAATCTTTTAACTGTAGTATCACTTCTGGTTTTATATGTTGCTTTGTTATTTTTCCATTTCTATATTGATGTATGTACAGATTATTTCCATCTTTTGTTACTGCAGCTAATGCAACAATGTTTTTTTCATGTGTGAACTGAGAAGTGTCTATGACCTTTTCCCGGCTACATGCTACAAATGGATTTGCTGGGCTATGGGGTACGCACATTTAATTGTTCTAGCTACTGCCAAGCTTCTTGGCAAAGAAGTGATAATGCCAGTTCACCCTTCTACTACATATGTGTTCTCTTTTCCTCATATTCTCACCAACACTTGATCTAATAATTCTTTTTAATTTTGACAATTTAGTAGGTTAAAATACCTCTGCTTTAAATTTAGTTTCCTTTGAAGTCTAATGAAATTAAGCATCTTTTTTACATCATTATTAGACATTAGGTTTGCTTTGTGTTGAATTGTCCTTATTATTTTATTTATTTATTTATTTTGCCTGTGGTGGTAAAGGGTGGCAGGGGATGCGGGGAACAGTTTTTTTTTTTTTTTTCCTAATTGATTCTTAGTTTAAAAAATTACATTTTGGTTATCCAGCCTCCATCAGTTACATTTATCACAAATATCTTCTCTGTCATGTGTCTTTTAAACTTTACTTAGGATACCAATGTGGTAGAGGCAATATAGACCTAAGACTGGATATGAATTCTAGTTCCATTTCTTAACAGGTGAATGACCTTGGTGTCCATTTCTAACTTTGCCTTGGTTTCTTTATCTATAAAGTCAGATTGGTAATAGTATCTACTTCAGAAGTTTCTCCAGAAGATTAAACAAGTTAAAATGCAAAACACTTGAGTAGAGGCTGGTAAACAGAAAGCTATCAATAAAGTCAAATATGGGCGTCCCTGGTGGCACAAGGGGTTAGGCGCAGCGCTGTGAGGCTGTCTGCAGCCACTGCAGCACGAGTTCAATCCTGGCCAGGGAGCTACCCAAATGGTGCAGCAGACCTCTTCTGACTCGCCCTCTGTGCCCCCTGCAGTGTATTTCAGTCAATCCACCTGTTCTGTTCCCCACTCTGTCTCTGGTGAATCCTCTCACCTCCCCACACCTCTGGCCTATACCCTAGTTCTTGTATGCATAAATAAATAAATCTTAAAAAAAGTTAAATACTATTTTGACATATGTAAGTTTTAAGATTTTTTTTTTGTTATAAAAATAGATTAAACTTTTTTTTTGCTTTGGTATATGATACACATGATAGCAATTCAGCTCAATATCACATGTAATAGTTATGAAAATGATTTCTCAGGGATGGAATGGTGGATACACAAAGTAGTCAAAAATAAGCATCTTTCAGATTAGCAACTCCTTCCCTTTGATGTGGTCCTTATCCTCAGAATCTGAGAATGTCAGGCCATCACAACCATGTTCCAAGCAGCAGGTGAGAGGGAAGAACAGAAGGTTCTCTTCTCCCTTTTCAGTCAACTATATTGAAGTACAATTTCCCTGCAGGATGGTTTTCATTCCTGAATTTTAAATAACTTAATGAATTTATTTATTTATTCAGGATATAGAATATTTCTATCTGCTTGAAAATTTCCCTTTTGCTCCTTTCAGGCAATCCCTTTCCTCTAACAAACCCCTAGGAAACCACTGATCTGTTTTCTATCATTACTGTTTTTTTCTTTTCAAAATTTTTATGTAAATGAGATACTCTTGTATCTGGCTTCTTTCACTTAGAATACCTTTGAGTTTCATCTAGGATTTTGTGTCAGTGGTCTGTTTCTTTTTATTTAGAGATATATCAGTTTGTTTATGCATTTACTGGTTGATGGACATTTGGGTTGTTTCCAAGTTTTGGTTGTTTATAAATAAAGATACTGTGAGTATCCATGCACCACCTTTGTGTGAACACAATTTTAAAATCTCTTGGGTAAATACCTATAAGTACAATTGCGAGGTCCAGGGCCTCCCCTGGCGGCACAGTGGTTGAGCGCTGGTCTGCCAAGCTGCCCGCAGCCTCTGGAGCGCCAGTTCGATCCCCAGCCACCAGCGAGGGCAAACACTTGTGTTTGGCAACACAAGTGTTTGCCATATTACAAGTGTTCGATCCCCGGCCACATGGTGCGACAGACCTCTCCTGCCATGCCCGCTGCTCCCCTCAGCAGTGTATTTCATCAGTCTGCCTGTTCTGTTCCCCGCTCTGTCTTTGGTGAATCCTCTCACCCTCCCGCGCTTCTGACTGTACCCAGTGCTTGTATAAATAAATAAATAAATCTTTAAAAAAAAAAAAAAAACAATTGCTAGGTCCAATGGTAAGTGCGTGTTTAACTTTATAAGAAGTGAGAAACTGCTTCTTAGTGGCTCTGTACCATTTTGTTCTGTCCTGCAATGTAGAAGAGGTCCAGTAGTCCCTATTCTCACCGATACTTGTCATTGCCCATTCTCTAGAATTTAGCCATTCTAGTGGATGTGTATTGGTATCTAGTATTATAATTAGCATTTCCCAAATGACTGATGATGTTAAACATATTTTCCTGTGCTTCTTTGCTATTCATATATAAAAACTTTGCTTTTTGATGTGAGAATATTTTTCAGTTGAGATATGGCAGCAATAAAAAATGGGTACATGTGCCCAGCATAGAATCTTCTATGACTTAAAGCAGATCCTCAGATACAGATGACATCCTCAACCATTGTTCATTGACTTGAATTGTGAAGCAACTTGAAGCCTGCAACTACAGCAGGACTTCCTTAGTTTCTTACCACATCCCTGATACTTATCTTTAGCATCTAGACCTTTGTCAAATGAAATCATTACAGACATCTCAGATAAGATTTCCTTTCTTTTTTACTTTTTTTTAAAATTAGTTTTATTTTCAATTGAAGCAGTGTTGATTTACAGCACAGTGTATGATTTGAGGGTGTAGGTTCATACCCCTTCAGATGTTTGTAACATACCAAATTTCCTTTTGGTTAGTAGCCCTGTGCTCTGTGACTTTGACTGCAATAGTTGAAAGTAAGTACTCAAGCTCTGAAAGCCTTCATTTTCTTTACGTTTCTAACATTTCAATGGTAAAAAGTCCCAGAAGGCAAAGTCCTTTTCACTGTGTTTACCTACTCAAAGGTACTTGGTAAAAACTATATGATGGGGTTTTGTAGTCTTAACCCTTTTGTAGACTTACCCCTTACCTGGGGGAACAGTATGGGATTTGGAATGAGATGTAGAAGGAACTTGGACTTTTTTTTAAAGATCTATTTATTCATGCATACAAGAACCGGGGTGCAGGCCAGATGCGCAGGAGGGTGAAAGGATCCACCAGAGACAGAGCAGGGAACAGAACAGGCAAACTCACTGAAATACACTGCTGAAGGGAGAAGCGGGCGAGACAGGAGAAGTCTGCTATGCCATGTGGGTATCTCAGGGGCCGGCTGGGATTGAACCCACACTGCAGAGGCTACAGACAACTCCATAGCGCTGGGCTCAACCACCTGCGCCACCAGGGGAGGCCCCGGAACTTGGACTCTTGGACTCTAGTCTTTGCTAACTTTGCTACTTAAATTTCTCAGTCAGTTTCCTCTTACTTATGGTAGATATAATAATGGCCCCTTGAGTTGTCTCAGAGATAGAATAAGCAATTAACGAGGCTATTACCCCATAATAAATGTTCAATGAATGCTAGTTTCCTTCCCTCTCAGGTATACTACCACTGACAGAAACAGTTCAGGTGTTTATTTACTTTGAAAAGCTGGTTACAGGCAGGTGATTCAAAGTGACATTTCTTCTTACTTTCCATTTGCTGGTTTTATCTTTAAAAACATATGCCTTTGGATTGCATCACCCTGTCTCATACTTTGTAGTTTAGAGTTCTCCTTGTCATTCTGAATATTGGGGTAGAAATAATGATCCATGTGACATGGATGGTTTCAGTCATTTAAAGATTGAGAGGGATATGGAAGTAGAGGCAGGGGTATAACAAAGATCAAAATAAAAAATAATAATAACAATAAAATAAAATAAATGTCAGCATTCTAGAAAGATTATCATCTTTTGACATAGTCAGATTGTCATTCTAACCTTCGGAGGAGCTATTGAACCACTCCATCTCCATCCCATATGTAACTTGTATGACAAGCATGTCAAAGTTTATTGACACTCATGTGAGACAAATGGCCTTTGGGGTAGGGTGGTAGGGAGGTCATGTCTAAATGGTGCCACTTGCTTGTCTCCATATGGTTCTTAAAATCTGAAAATACATAAAAAAACTGATGAGTGCTTATTAAAAATGCAGACCACTGGGCTATCTGTCACTGCCTATCAATTTAATAGATCTGAAGTAGGATCCAAGACCCTTCATCTATTTTTGGGACTGGTCACCACCATGTTGGTGTATCAGGGAGGTATGGTTCCAGGCCATTTATTCATCATTCATTGGCTATTTATTGAGTACTAAGTATAAATTGGATTCATGGGCCTTGTACATTTGGGGGAAGGGATTTAACATAGAAAAAGGGATGTAAGATACTTGTGTAGAGACAGCTGCTGGGTCTATAGGTTAGAGTCAGACTATTTGCTTCTTTGTTTCCCCTTGACTCTGTGCAAAACTGACTTTGGTTTAGAATAGTTTACTCACTTGTCTCTACCAGATTGTAGAAGGCAAATGAGTTTCATTGGTATCCCACATCAATTTTGTTCCATCATCTTTTCTTAGTCCTAAACTTTGATTTTGGCCGTAATTCCAACTCTAGCATCTGTGGCAATCTCCAGCTTAAGGCACTATATGTTGGAAAATGGCTTCTCTTCATAGGATTTAAAGAGTATTCTCTATTATGTTACTGCTGCCATACCAGTCCCTTTGCCTTCTGTGCCTCTTGATGGCCTGAAAGAGGTAGCACAGATCACACGTAGTCCATCAGCTGTAGTTCTCACAGCAGGTGACACATGACATAAGCTAGTGGTCATATGGGTGGCAAGGTGAGTCTCATTGGGCATTACTCAGATGGTACAATGTTTGGATAGGAAGGTAAGATGTTCAAAAGGGTGTGGCTCCTAGACTTACATTTGTGCAGGCATTGTGACATACTCTGAAGGCTTATCTGTTTGACTTCATACTGCAAAGAGATGAGAACTTTGGTTTAGTCTCCAAGGGGGAAGTGTAGGCAGTTTTAGACTCGGGCCAGTCAATATCTGCTTTTCCTTCTTGAGACTGGAACCATTGTAAGTTCTTGGGAGAAGAGTATAGAGCTGGACTTGACATTGAGGAAAGTGTGAAGGTAAGGATATTTTAACTAAGAAAAATTATTCAAAAGCAGTTGAAATTTGGAAGAGAGTGCTAATGTGGAAGGATGGAGAGTCAAAAAAAATTTAAAGCTACGCATGCTTGTATGCACTTTGCTTTGAATATTAAAGCAAATAGTAAAGTGAAGCTCAAGAAATAGTTCAAAATGGTTTAAGGTGTGCGTTGGAATTCACAAATGTGTTTTGAACTTTGAATTACTAATTAAGGTTTAGAAAAACTTATTTTGGTGGTAACTCAAGAAGAAGCTTTACCATCTGGTAATAATTTATATTGAATTTAGCTATTTGATTAAGAATCCACCAAGGAAATTATAGAAACTCTTTCTGGGTAATTTTTAAAAATTAAGAGTTTAATTTTTAAACTCTTTCTGGGTAATCTTTCTACGCACAGACCTGGTGTGTGGTTTCTGTAACTTTAACACTGGGAATTGGCACCTAACCCCTGATTTAGATCTTGGCATTTGCCCAATATTATCTCCAAATGCTAGTGTTTAAAAAATAATTCTTCTTTGGGGGTGGTATATGTTGAGGGTGCTCAGAAAGAGTATCAGGCCAACAAGAGTATCAGGAGCTGTTTCTTGTCTTTGGCCCAGAGGGGGATGCCTGCTGTCATTGGGAACAGCAGGGATTTTTTGTTTCTGTTTTTGTATGAGGGAGTAGTATGAATTTTAAGAATGAACCACAGCTGGAAGCCAGTGACTGAATCTTGTAGCCCACTCTTTTAGGGTTGAGAGAACTACTTTCCCCTCAAGATTTTAAGTGGTGAAGTCAGGCAGGGAGGATGTTGAAGAAGGAACTTTTTATTTCCTGTTCTGGTGATTTTCTCTGGGAGTTCTGTTGCCTGTTTGGCAAGTATGTTCTGCTTTGTGGGTGAGGAAAGCCCTGTGTGCTTCCAAGGGGGCTGTGTCTGCATTTTCGATTGAGCTCTAATTGAACTCTGGGCTACTTGGCAATAATTTGCACCTGCAGACAATAGTAAAGCAGGGAACAAAAGACAGATTTGTGAACAATGGTGTTCTTAAAGGGTCAGGAAAAAGACTAAACTTGTAAGTTGACTATAAATTTGAAGCGTAGGGCAAGGGAGGGGGTGGGAAATGTGTGAGACAGGGGAGGCAAGAGCACAAGGGAATATGGTGATGGTTCATACATGCTGTGATGGTGGGAATTATGGGGACTACATTGTTTTTTGAAAATGAATTGTTGTTCAAAAATGAATAATGATGTAAGAAAATAAATAAACTCAATTATTTAAAAAAGAAGTTAAGCATAAAAGAGAAACAATATAATGTTGAGGTTGGGTTTGCAGGCTAACCTACAAAGCAGGTTAACCCATTATGTATCCAATATCTGGTTTTGGAGAAGCTTGGCTGAGCTGATAGTGCTCTGGTTTGAAGCCGGAAAGGCTTGTGTTTTAAGTCACAGTTCAGTCAATTACTTATTCTGTGACCTCAGGCAAGTCATTTGGTCTTTGATCTTAGTTTCTTCATCTTTGAATTGGGGTGGTAGGTACCTACCTTGCAGGGATTGTGGGGAATATGAAGACAATGTATGTGTAGGACATACTTGCAAATAATGGCGCAATAGAACTATTGCCATGTAAAAAAAATGGTGTTCTAGTTGACGAGCGAAATGATAGAATTTATGCAATTTTCTCTCCGCATAATGAAAGTAAAGTAAAGTAAAATGAAGTAAAATGAATGCCATTTCATTACCAGGAGCAATTGGGTCTACTTGGTACTGTAGGCGAATATGGTATAGGGCAGAAAATTTTTTTCTTCTTCCCTTCTAGGTTCTCCTGATGGTCTAATAATTAAAATGACACAATCTAGATTAATGGGGAGAAAAAAATTAATTTCATATGTACAGGAACCCCACAAATGCATTGGACTCCCGGACAATCAAACAGTTGGGATGGTTTAGGGAGAAGGGGATAGGAGTCTGGCACTTCACAGGGGAGGAAAACTATAGGAAGATGGCAGAAGCAAATATTTGGTAAACAAAGATTTGCTTGTAGAGACAAAGGGAGACAGAAAGGAATTTGAACAAACAGGTCTTTCTAATTTCCTCCCTACCTACCAAACCCATTTTATAATATATTGTAGTTATCTATCATCGCAGCTCCCTACCTATAACAGATCTTTTATGTAAATACTTTTAGGCAGTGAAGGGGAAAGCTAGATTCTTCCCAAGTCTTTTGGGCCTTGATTGCTTTCATCCCATAACAATCCACATGCCCACCTGGCATATTTTGGGCTGCCTATTTTGCTCCCGGACAATAGTAAGCTTGCTTTGACTTCTTTTTATTAGAGACTTTTAAATAGACAAGGATTGAAACCATCAAACTGCTTCAGATTAACGGGTTAAGGACACAGAACTTCTGGAACTGAAGTAGCAACAAAGACACCTTTCTTTTCTAACGCTGATCATCTCATATCCCTTTTCACAAACCTTCATCTACTCCCCATTTCCTCCCGTTCACATTACAATGGCAAGTGCTGAGATTTAGCAGTGTGCTTGGCCATTTGGTCAGTGGAAATGTTTATGGACGTGGGTCATGAGGATTATTTGGTCTAGAGCTACACATTTGGAAAGAGCCCTGAATTAAAAATTTCATGTTACCGCCAACATAGGCAGTAAGTTTTGTGTGTGCGCTGAAAGTAGTTATCCAGTAAATCCAAACACAGAGTTATCATAATTCTCCTTAGAATTTCTTCCCTTTTTTTTTTTTTAACATACTATGAGCCTCAGTAAAATGAGTGATCCATAACCTCAGAGGCTGCTAACTCTTGAGAATTCCTGTTGCCTGCTACATACAGACTCATAATATAGTAATGGACATAAAGGCTAATGAAAAGGACAGACCTTTCTATAATTTATTGTACAGAGTCCACTAATGTGATAACTCTGCCTGTTGAGAAGCTATATGAGGGGTTCTCTCATACCGGGGCCATGAGGGAGAATTTCCCCAAGCAAGATTAAATCCAAAGAGCTAGAGAAAGTCAGTCAAATTTGAGGCAGGATTGATATAGCATTACAGGCAATAGATCTCAATAACCAATTAGTTTTCAGGGACCTAAGTGGACTTTAGGACTTTATGATTTTTATATTTTGAGTTTGAGAAAATTATTAGGAAAATTATTTTCTGGCAATGGATGGGTAAGTACATAATATGATTAGTTTAATTTTGTGTATATTGAGGATGGTGATCTTTAAGATATCAAAGTGGAGATAATAATACAAGGTATATGATCTTGTATTATAAAAAAAGTCTTCTTTACTCTTGTTAATTTAGATTTGTAGTTATGTGGTGCTTCTATCCTGGTCCAATGGGAAATAAAATTAATTTTTGATATATGATTCCTGCTTTTAATGTTTGATATATGATTCCTGCTTTTCAGAGCTTATTCTCTCACTTCAGTCAAGAATTACACACACACACACACACACACACACACACACACAGTTCCTGTAACCCTCTGAGACAGCAGTAGAAGTGTTATTGATAATACATGATTGTCAAGTGAATTGTATAGATAATTCTAGCTTATCCACAGTTAGTATCTTATCTGGTTTTACTCTTGCTTTATTTTGGTAGTTTCAGAAGGGTTGAGGATAACGTGAAGTTTAATAGTATTGTGGGTTATTTGATATGGAGTAACTCATTTTAATTTTACAGGGTAGCTACTATTTTTTGTTCCATTTGACAGGAAATTGAGGCACTGAGAGGTTCAATAACTTGTCTAAAGTTATGTAGTTTATAAATGGTAATTTTGGGATTCCAATCTCATCAATCTGAGCTCAGAGTCTCTTCAGTTTTTTAAAATCTCGTCCTTTACACTAAATATATGCTTTATAATTTAAGTTAGTTAAAGGCTTTATTTTTTTAATGACTGCAATATTTAATCATTCTCCTGATTTTAGACATATATATTGCTTTCAGTTTTGCGTCTGTATTTCCAGTTATATACTTAGGATAAATTTCTGTAGTGGATTTTCTATATCAAGGAATATAAAACACTTATGGGTCCTTAAAACATATTGAATTTCAGAAAACCTCAAACAGTTTATAATCTGGATGTACTTTTCCATTCCATATGGTTGATCAAGTCAAGACAGAAAGAACAACTATGATAAAGACTAAGATATTTAATCACAGAATGATAGAGGAACATCTGGAGTAGATATACTCCAGGTATCATTTAGGTCATCTCCTTTTATTAAGAACAGAGGCTCAGAGAGATTAAGAGATGTGTCCAAAGCATATCAGTGTGGTGGTAGAGTGAGAATTAGGGCAAGAATCAGAATCGAATAAGAACCTGCACTTAGCACTAAATAATATACTTGATCAGAAACTTAAATAGTTTGGAGGATTCAGAGGCATGCTGAAATGTTCATCTTGGGTTTCAGCTGGAGAGTTGAGAGACTTTTAATGTTTGAGTCTGTTTCAGTTTCCCCTTGAAGCTTCACAGTTGTGTTTTGGGAGTGTGGAAGTAACCCAAAGGACTGTGCCCCAAATGAAAGGCTCAGTAGCCACCCAAAGAGATAAAGAATACTATTAGGCTTGAGGGAACCTTGTGACATTCCCTTTCATGAGTTCTCTTGCGTCTTGCCTACGGTCAGATCCTCAAGGATGATTCTGAACTCTCCATTATTCTGTTGCTAGTACAATATGTTTGAACAAAGGGCTGCTCACACAATCCAAAACATAAGTCAAGACTGATTTTCATCACACTTACCAAAAATGGAAAATATTTTTCTTTCTTATTGCTCCATCATGTCGCAATGGATAAACAGAACTTAAAAATTGATTTGTATCCATCTGGATAGGGTGGATTTATCCATTAAGCCTCAAAGTTTCAATGTCTCAGTACAATGAAAGTTTCTCTTGCAAATCTGAAGGAGGCTGGTTTCATCTTCTATGTTGTGGATATGGCATGCAAGTTTGCCAACTTGGGGTGGGGGAGGAGTTAATAGAATCATGTAGGCTCTTAACTGACTCAGCCTGAAAGTGATAAATGCCAAACAATCTATTGACCAAAACTAGAAACACGGTACTCATTCAACTGGAGGAGAGACAGGGAAAAGTATATGGGGGAGAACATAGATATTTGATGAGCACCAATGGTTTCTTCTACTCTGGGTACTTGATACTTTGAAATTACGTTCTTGGAAAAAAAGATAGGTAATTTCTTATCATTTCTAATTTTAAACACAATGATAAAACTTTCATTTTACTTTCCTTCAAATATGCTTAAGTGTAACTATATGGTGGAATACATACTGTCATTTTACAAAATTCTTTTGAGCTCCCTGTTAAAAACAAATAAATTTTAGCTTAATAATTGTTAAATTTGGGCAAGTCATCTTCTCTAAACTTGTATCCCAATTCAAAGTAGTATAATTCTTCACTCAAGGTTATATTGTAAAATGTATGTGATAGGTTGCCTACAAAACACTTGATACATTGCTCCTACAAAGCAAGTATTTAATGAGTGTGAAATTTTTCTTGTCATTGATATTGTAGTGGGATTGACTACTTTTGACAGTAACATTGGATCTTCTAAATCAGTGGTGTATCCATAATCATCAAAAGATAGGTACTTTATGGGAACAAGTGATGTTTTGGCTAAGTTTTGGAAATGAAATATCTTATATCTTCTGTTCTTATCTTGGTAGACATGGGGAGTTTCAAAGGTCATGCCCTACCTGGAACCTTCTTCTTTGTCATGGGTATTTGGTGGAGCATAAAGAGCATTCTGAAATATGCCTGCAAAAAGTACAAGCGGACTTCCTACCTTGGCTCCAAAGCATTATTCCAGCGAATAGAAATTATAGAGGGAATCGTAGAAATTTTCATGGCTGTAACTGGTGAGTGTTCCATGTCTGTGTTTTGTTGGCTTCTCTTTTCAGGTATTTTCTAATGCAAAGAAAAGATTCAGTATCAAATCAAGAAGTTCCTGAAATGAAATTTTTTGTTTAATTGACAGAAAACATTGTATTAGTTTCAGCTACAACATAGTGATTTGATATTGTGTAAGGAAATGATTACCACAATTAGTCTAGCTAACATCCATAATCACAAATAGTTTCAGTTTTGTTTTCTTGTGACAAGAACTTCTAATTTATTCTCTTAGCAATTTTCAAATATATAATAGAGTGTTATTAGCTATAGTCATCGTGTTGTGTATTACATCCCCAGTACTAATTTATTTTATAACTGGAGGTTTTAAACTTGGTCTCATTCATTTGACCACCTTCACTCTTTTTGTCCACCCTTACCCTAAAGTGAATTTTTTTATTAAAAAATATCTCTGTGGGCCTCCCCTGGTGGTGCAGGTGGTTGAGCGCAGTGCTATGAAGTTGTCCGCAGCCTCTGAAGCGTGGGTTCAATCTTGGCCGGCTGGTGAGAATCCCACATGGCGTGGCAGACCTCTCCTGTCTTGCCCACTGCTTCCCTCAGCAGTGTTTTTCAGTCAGTCTGCCTGTTCTGTTCCCTGCTCTCACCCTTCCGCACATCTCGCCTGTACCCTGGTTCTTGTATGCATGAATAAATAAATCTTTTAAAAAATAAATAAAATAAATTAAAAAATCTCTGAATACTTACTCTACTTATAAATCCTACCTGACATAGTTTTTAGAAGGCTATATTTGCTGCTTATACAAAGGCTTCATCCTTAAAGAATTAGTCATGGTAGTGAACTTACCTGCCCACTCAAGGTGAATTTTCTTTATAGAAATAATTTCATATCAATTATTCTGATGCTTGAACAAATAAATTCTATCAGAAACTACTTTTCAGAACTAAATAAAAATAATCACATGATTATGGAAAAATTTAAATAATTAATCTTTGCTGACAGGTGTATAGACCCATTGGGGTAAAGAAGACCTTGACTTATGCATTCATCCTTCTTGTGTGTTTGCTAAGTTGGAACAGGAGGTCAGGTTAGATTACAGATAATGATTTTCTATTGATGGTGAGGATTCTGTAAAAATGATATAATTGTACAGTTCCCCTATATGAAGGGAAAACTTCTGAATTTCCTTTTGGATTTCTTCATGCTTTATTCATGACAATAGGTTTTTTTCTATAGCCGTCTAATCACAGAGCAACCATTTCCAAAGAGAGGAATTTCCATGTCAATGTCTATATATTAACAAATAAAACAGCATATTTAAAGAGGTTTAATTAACTGTTTGTGTAACTGACTAGGCCATATTCTAATCTGGCTGCGCTTTCTCAGTAATCTTTAGTTGGCGAAAAGCTGAACTTCAGCATTTTAATCTTGAACCAAGCACAACTCTCTCCTTCGTGCAGCCTGCACGGGACACGAGTGTGAAATGTAAGAAGGAAGTAATCCGTTTCTTCCTGGCTTATCTCCCAAATCCAAATCCCAAATCATTGAGGTTTTACCTAGACATTAGATTGAAATCGGAACTAAAATCATCAATGGGACTGAAACTTAGTGGAACTGAGATCATCAGCTTTGAAGATCTGAAGTAGTTATCTGACAACATTGGTGATCTTTGACATAGAGTGAATGTTCAACCTGTATTTGAAATTCTAAAACAAGCCTAAAGTTCCAGTGCTTAGCTGTTAGAGAACAGCCAGAGGAAAGATCAATGTCATAAAATGACAGTAGATTGGACTAAGTAGTGGCTGATCGTTTTGTATCTTTTCTGCCTACTTGGCATGAGGGTTGCTAAATCTGCGATATGTCTCTCTACAGGTATGCTTGGAGAACAGTTTATTTCTGGAGGGCCTCATCTAACCTTATATGACTACAAAGAGGGCCAGTGGGTTCAACTCCTGGGCTGGCATCATTCCACCATGTATTTCTTCTTTGGGCTGCTGGGTGTGGCAAACATCTTATGTTTCACCATCAGTGCACTTCCTAGCTCCTTAGTCAAGTTAACATTGTCAAATGCCTTATTTGTGGAGGGTAAGTATAAGTGAATTTTCTCCTATATCTTTCACTTTTATTGGACATTTATAATAATATTTCTTTGGTGTACAGGTACAGTCTTAAATGATAGGGCCATGTATTTGGGTCATAGTGACCTAAACAGCATAAGCAAAATCAAATGTGCTTTATTCACATTTCACATCTGCCTTAAAGAACCTACTATTGTTATTTGTGCACTAAGTTTAGCCTGGAAATTATCATTATTTCCATTTTTAACAAGTGAATCTGAGATCAAAGCATTGATGCATGGATATCCTGAAACTAGGAGACAATTCATAGCAGACTAGCTTCTAACAGCTACTAATTAGCCTTTTTCATATTGATATAATAAAACTCCACTATCACATGATTAGTAGAGTCCAAAAAATTAACACAAATTTGTATGGATATATCTATAGCTATATCTATAGATATATCTGTTTTTAAGACATGAATGAAAAACAACATTTTTTGTTCTCATTTCTCCTTGTTATTCTACAGGGAAACACTGAAAACAGGTATTTAATGAATGTTTCATTTATTGTACATATAAGGAACAGATTGATTATGTAACTCAAAAAAACCCCAAATTATCAAGAGGCAGTCACTTCCTAACTGTCTGCCTGAGCTCCCTCATCTGAAGATGAGAACTTTTGTTGACCTCTTTGAGAACAAGAGCTAGATAAAAGTCAACAACATGATTCTCATTATCTCAAGTGTTTTAATATTTTGCATGAACATCTTTTCCGCCTCATCTGAATAGAAAGGATAAAAATGAAACTGGAATCTGTGCATGGGATTAAAATATGTATTTAGTTACTACTACTTGGGTGCTTCCAGAACATCTTATCATACCCATCAGAGTCCACTGTTAGGATTTGTGTATATGTTTGCTTTCTTCAATGGATTGAATTCCTTAAGGGGAAGCTATGTCTCATTCAGGAAAGAGACAGAGATAGAGACAGAGACATTAAGGTCCTTGGTTTCGTTGAAAAAGACAAACTATTTTTTTCCTCCTTCTATCAGCCTTTATCTTCTACAACCACACTCATGGCCGGGAAATGCTGGACATCTTTGTGCACCAGCTGCTGGTCTTGGTCATCTTTTTGACAGCACTAGTTGCTTTCATGGAGTTCTTGATACGGAACAATGTAATTCTAGAGCTTCTGCGATCAACCCTGATTCTGCTTCAGGGGAGCTGGTTCTGGCAGGTGAGTTGGGGTGTCCCGTTAATGTATTTGGTATGACCACCTATAACTTTCTCTCCTTGTTCAGTGGGGCATTTTACTCTTGAACCCAGAGACTTCATTCTGATGTGGTACCTATAACGAGAGTACGGCCTTTAGAGGTGATGTTTCTTTGAATGGTCTGTCGGCCTTGGTGAGCATTACAGCACCTGGGATGGAAGTAGGGTGTGCACTCTTCATTTCTCATCTGAGTACCCATTAGGTAGGCTGGTGCTTTTAGTTAGAAGCTGTTCTTGATCAGCTGTTCTTGATCACCAACTCTGGGCTGGTGCTTTTAGTTAAAAGCTGTTCTTGATCCTAAAACCACTTATAGTTTAAAGGGAAATGAAGAAAGGAAACTAACTTTTTTGAGAAACAACTATGTGCTGGCCACTATTTAGGACTTTATATACATGTTTCATTTTGTCCTAACAATGGTTTAGTTAGGTATTACCATTCCCAATTTACTGATAAGGCATATTCAGAGAGACCAAACTACTGTCCAGGATCACAGAATAATGGAACTAGGATCAAAATATGGGTCTGCCATATTGCAAATCCCAAGCCTTTTCCATTTTACTGTTAATTCCCTAACTTTGGTGTGTTGCTGAAAACATGATTTCCAATCAGTGAGCACATATTTACAGAGACTGATAGACCATAGTCTAGTATATGTATGAAAATGTAAATAAAGTCTGGGATGAAATGTGAATGTGGTTTTATCAGGAAATACTTAGATTTTAGTCATCAGAGAGCAGGGATTTGGGGTGGAAAGGCTTTTTTTTTTTTTTAAAGACTTATTTATTTATTTATATAAGCACTGGGTACAGTCAGAAGTGCGGGAGGGTGAGAGAATTTACCAGAACCAGAGCGGGGAGCAGAGCAGGCAGAAGGACCGAAGTACACTTCTGAAGGGAGCAGTTGGAGACAGGAGAGGTCTGCATGCCATGTGGGACCCTCCTCCAGTGGCCGGGGAGCAGCCAGGGATCGACCAGCGCTGCAGAGGCTGCGGGCAGCTTCGCAACCCAGCGCTCAACCGCTGCACCACCGGGGAGGCCCTGGAAAGGCTTTTTAAGGAATTTTCTTTTCACATAAGGAATGATAGGAAAGCATGGGTAGGTGAGGGGGAGAGAAACATCAGTGTCAGACACTGAATAAAACTGCATACAAGGAATAAAGCTGGACTGCAGACATGCTGGCTCCAGGTCCAGAGTAGACAGTGAGAGTTGGTTGTTTAGTGGAACTAAAGGGAAGTAAAAGAACTCCTGTCAGGGTGAAGAATGAAGCCAGGCTCTTGGTGGCCTTTTATTTTATTGTTTCTATATTCTGGATTCCTAATTGATGGATTTCTCACTTTTTGTCAGAAATCTGTTAAAGTCTTTTGAAACTTGAAATTCTGGATTTGTCAATTTCTTATTTATGCTTTAAAATTGTGAGATTTCATTCTGCTTTTACTTTTCTACGTTTTTGAGATGACTGCTGATCTCATTTATTTTCCGTCTTTCCTGTTTTTTAAAATAAGTGCACACTTAAGGCTGTAGATTTCCCTCTACACATTACTATGGCCGCCTCCCATAAGATTTGATGTCAGTTTTTACTCTTGGGTAATTTTGAATGTTGCATTTTCCATTGGCTTTCTCTTTCACTTATGAGTTATTTAGCAGTACAGTTTAAGTTTCCAAAGATAATCTTATCATTTATTTCTAATTTAACTGCTTTGTAGTCAATGCGTTGTTTTTTAAAAAATATATTGAGACTTCTTTTGGAACATAGCTCAAAGCCAGTGGTAGTAGATGTTCCAAATATTTGGAAAGAAAGTGCATTCTGTCTTTGTTGGGTTCAAGAGTCTATATCTGTTTAATAGATCACGTTCATTAAAGAGTTAAATCATCAAGTAGAGAAGTCAGAAAATAGGAACAAAAGAGAAAACCCAAAAAAAAAGAGTTGAAAAAAGAATAATAAAGATAAGAGCACAATTAATGAAAGTAATGTTTCATTAATAATTACTAATTGAGGATCTGAGGAGGGAAGCTGTGGGTTTTGTGATAACTGAGAATAGTTTGGCTTTATTGTCTTGGCAATAATGTTTTAATATTTCCTCAAGTGTTTTTCTAAGGAAAAGTTATAAGGTTAAAGTCTTTGGGTATAACTGTGTGATTATAATTTTTTTTCCCCATCTATCTATAAGTCTAGACTAGTTTCTTTTTTTTTTTTTAATCTCGTAGTCAGACTAAATTACATCTGGAGTCTTAAAGAAAAGTTAACATTTAATACCAATGTGTACACACACACAGAGACAGGAAATGAAGGTTTATCTCTGGTGCTTCTCTCCATCCTCAGAGTCCTCTGAAACAAAAATATCTAGAGATTTAGGTGATTTTTTTTATACTTTCATCTTCTCTTGCTATGTGTGGCATATTAATGCTTATGGGCAAAAATTCTGCATTAAACTAATAATATTACACCGTGATTTGCTTTTCACCATGTATTTTTTCTCTTACTACTTCTCCATATAGTCAATCCTAGTGGATAAACAATATAGAGGCAGCAGAGAAGTGCACACCTAGACTCTTGAAACCATACGAAAATGTGAATTGAAGGCGGCAAATACTCAGATTGAACACTTTATTTTATTAATTAATTAAAATTTTTTTTCTTATATCATTGTAGAGATTGGACACTTTTTTTATAACTCATATAAATGATTGGGTAATAGGTAAACTTAGGTTTGGGAATTCCCCTCCAACCTGTAAAAATAATTTCATTCCTGAACCATGTTGACATCAAACATGTTTTCTCAGAAAACCTAACCATATTACACAAATTTAAAAAAAAAAGTGTCAGGCCCATCCATTCCCATGATTCATATTTTCCCTGGGCCTCTGTGTGGGAGAATATTTCTAACATTTACTTGTGTACTTTGTCATCCCAAGCTCCCTCCCTTCTTTGTCAGAGCCAAGGTACAGAGACAATCGGAGGGAGGAAACTGCTCCCGCTGTCTTTGCTTCTCATGGACATTTGCTTCTGCCACATCTCCCAGCTCCAGTATTGCCCTGGAGACTCCCCAGCTCTCTGAGCCCAGACTGAAATGGAGCCTTGTCTTGCCTTTAAGAAAGACAAAATTTCATTCTAAAATGGGTAAATTAAAAAAAAGACACCTCGACAGTAGTGGTTCAAGGGCTGACATGGGAGATCAAATACTTGTTAGGCTTAAGGAGTAAGGGATTAGAGAATGAGATGTAAACACTAAAAAATTGAAACTCAAACCTATAAGAAATGGGCCCCTGGCTTATTTCCTATTAGAAGAGAATGTAATTTACATTTCAAATGTAATAGTACTGAAGCTTAACCTAGTTAAAAACAAATATTCAGGAGTGGCCTGCAAGATATAGCAAGAAAAATTCTTTTACTCAGGTCCTTTTTTCTTTGAATTTTACATTAGGTAGCAATTAGGAGAGGTAGCAATTAGTAAAGTAGATAAAAGAGTCATGGTGGATTTTTATGTTTAAAGAAGGAATTAATGAGTCCTGGCATTTCCTGCTCTTTAGTTTTCAGCTTTCCTAATTTACTTGCCACTGGAATGATATGCAAAGTCGCTATGGCTTTCAGTCTAATCACATCGATAAACTGTTCATATGCTTCACTGTAGGCTTCAGTCAAATTTTAAGCTTTGGTCTCACTCATAGCAGGAATCTAGAAAATCTAAATAAGGGACCAAGAAAAAGAATAACTATAAGAAAGAAAAAATCAAAATCAACAAACAACTATGAGCCAGAGACACACTATGGGGGGGTGGGAGGCAGGGAAAGGAGGAATTGGGGTCAAAATAAGGGGGTTGCAATTGTATAGGGAATATAAAAATAAAATTAAAAAAATAAAATAAAATAAAATTTTTTAAGCTTTCTGGGGCCTCTTCTGGGGTTATGTCTCAGCACTATGAAGCTTTGACAGCCGCTACAGCACCAGTTCAATCCCTGGCCAGGGAGCTAATCCACATGGCACAGTAAGCCTCCCCTGACTTGCCTGCAGCTCTCCTGGGCAATGTACTTCTGTAGATCTGCCTGTTCTGCTCCCCACTCTGTCTCTGGTGAATCCTTTCGTCCTACCCCTCCACCTCTGGCCTATCCCCCTGCTCTTGTATACATAAATAAATAAAATTTTAAAATTTTTTCAAGCTTTCAATATTAGGTTCTGAAGACTCAGTGAGATGAGCAGTGAGAGATGCTCAACATTACTCTTATATTTTTTTCCTTTTTTAAATAAAGGTAGATTATTTATTTATTTATTTAGTTATGCAAGAACTGGGGTACAGGCCAGAGGTGTGAGGCAGTGAGAGGATTCACCAGAGACAGAGTGGGGAGCAGAACAGGCAGATTGACTGAAATACACTGCTGAGGGGAGCAGCGGGTGAGACAGGAGAGGTGTACTGCACCATGTGGGTAGCTCCCTGTCTGGGGCTGGAATTCGTGCTGCAGAGGCTGCAGACAGCTTCACAGTGCTGTGCTTAATTAACCCCTTGCACCACCAGGGGTTACTCTTTCCTTGATGTGAATCAGTAAACACTTTGATAGGTAGAATAGATTATGACTAGTGGAGGTTTAAGAAACTTTGTTTTGGATGCTCCAAAAGATATTTGTCACTACGGCATGTTGCAAGAAGTCTATGAACTTCCTGACCAGGCAGATCTGGATTTGAGTTCTGGTTCTACTTTACTAATCATATAACTATAGACTAGATATTCCGTGCCTTTGAGTGTCCCCAGCTATACAATAGAAACACTATATTATGATAATGTTGTGAGAATTAATCATTATAACTTGAAAACACATGCCACCCTGAGGAAATGCTATTCATTTCTTCAGAAGAGGGTTGAGAAAACTTGCAGAAGGTGAAGCTGACTTGGGATTTGAAAGACAAATGAGGCTCATCAATGTGTCTTAGGCTTGAGATTTAGGACAATTGATACTCCTTTGTTAGTTTGTTCC